TCGGCATGCATTGTGCATTCACGATCTAACCCAATCGGAGATCTTGCGAATTTAGCGAAACGTTTCAGATTTACCTTTTGCATTAGTTAGAATATCTAATTTTTAATAGCTTTTTTAAAAACCATCCATAATATATCTTCAGAGTTTAACTTGATCGACTACAACAATAGATTATGCTTATTAAAGGAATGTTAAATTTGTCTCTAGACGTCGTGCTGATAATTTTGAGATAAAAGGTTGATATACCTACTCGTATATTTAAAAGATTACCTAACTGGTTTTTACGCAGTTAGGTAATCTTTTAAATATACGATTATATGATCAATTTTCCATTTACAATGCTTTATTGATATCTTTAATTCATATTGATTAGATTGGATAATTAATAATGACGAGACGGAATTGGATTCTGAACCTGGGACTGGTGGGTTTTATAAGCATTAATGAAAAATAATGAAATGTAATATTTAAAGATTACATAAATTCTCAATGTTATATTGTTATTAGTATCTACTTAAAATGTACCTTTAACTTTTCCTTAACGATATCTTGTACAAACCACTTCTTAATTTGACACAAATACTGGAATATAGTTAAATATGTTTTAGTACCCAATACCCCACCCGTTTAAAGGAGTGTCTAAACAATTTTGCCAGTGTAATTTTTTTGTAAAAACATGTTACATACATGAAACATTAAGGTTACTAAAACATTCCTCATGTGTAATTCACAAGCTATACCGTGCAAAACATTTTATGTTGAATATTAAAAAGCTACTCGGAAATAGGAGTGGTTCATTTATATCTTTATCGTTCAACATTATATGTTGAAAAATGTGAATTACTTATTGCTTTTGTTTTATGTATTTATATAGCTTTATTGTTAGAGGTTAAATGATGAAATTGCTGTTTTCACGATTTCTATTGCATGATACTTTTATTTATTCAAAGTATATCGTTATCGCATTGTCGATACATATTCCTCATATGAACTATATACGCCATTTTGAATAATGTCATTCGATATCATTGAAATCTTGCAGCAGAACTTTATGTTTGACACGTACGCGTGAAAATATAAGAAAGAAGTAAATAATTATGTCACATACCAATTGTACTGTTTTATTTGATGTATTTTCTCTATTCTAAAATATGTTTTAATTTTTTATAAATGAAATAAAATTCGGCCAAGTGAGAGTTGGATCGCACACGAATGGTCTATGAATTCTATGAAAATGCGTTTGTTGTATAAGCAACAGAAATTGACCATTTCACCTGCCTTAATATCACGGTTTATAAGATATCGCCTGAGAACATACAGACAGACGGACAGCGGGGGATTTATAATAGAGCCCCTTTTACTGTCTGGGTTCGGAACCGTCAAACAAATTATCATAAAACTAGAAAAATCATTTAATTCGAGTAATTATCACATAATTGTTTGCATTACTTAAATGTTTTTAAGTCAGGGGCGTGTTCACACGCTGTGACTTAATTAAGTGCTAGTTTAATAACAGTTCAGTGTTGAAATCTAATGGCGTTCCACTGTTATGAGATTCGTTCAAACAATATAAAGTTACGAAATTAATGTGTGCAAGCCTTTAGATATTTCTTAAGTAAACCAGGGGCTAATATTCTAATTTTAAAATCTATCACCTTTCAATTTGACATTTAAATTCGTGAATAAACTTTACGCTATAACTATTCGAAATATGATAGCAATTGCGACGGTGACGTTTTATTGAAAGATATTGAATGAACGATATCATTAGTTTGATGTTAATTGGAGTTGCCGAAGTCAAGTCATCATCCTCCTGCCCTTTATCCCACGTTACGTGGGGTCGGCACAACATGTTTTCTTCTTCCATTCTTCTCTGTCAGACGTCAGCTCCACATCCACACCTTTCTTATTCATATCCTCTTTCACACAGTCGATCCATCTTTTCTTCGGTCTGCCTCTACTCACATATCCATCCACATGCATACCCATCACTCTTTTCGTAACATGACTTTCGTCCCTTCTCATAACATACCCATACCACGCTAGTCGATTACTCCTCATTTTCTCCGTCACAGGTGCAACTTTCAGGCTTCCTCTTACGTACTCATTTCTAATCTTGTCCATTCGCGTCACTCCACACATCCATCTCAACATTCGCATCTCTGCCACATGTACTCGCCTTTCATCCGTCCCTTTTGTAGCCCAACATTCAGAACCATACAGTACGACAGGTCTTACGATCGTTTTATAGATTTTCCCCTTAAGTTCAAGGGGCATTCGTGGATCGCATATCGTTCCTGAGACCTCTCGCCATTTCATCCATCCCGCATTTATTCTATTCCTCACGTCACGGTCAATATCGCCATCGTTTTGTATTAATAACCCAAGGTACCTGAAGTCGTAGCAGATTGGTAAGGTTACACCATTTAAGGCAATGTTTTGGAAACCGGAGGTTCCACCAAAATCGCAGAACAGATAATCGGTTTTGGTTCTGCTGATTTTGAGACCGAACTCCTCCAGTTTCTTTCTTTTTCTTGCCGAAGTCAAGTGTTAGACCCAAATATTACTTTAAGTTTTCAACTTTTTTTATGATTCAAATCATCACTCCTTCTAAAATCGATTGAGACTTAAACGTTACACAATTCCACAAACTTCTATCGAATCGCTATACCCTTGAAACATAAACAAGATATAAGCGGTTGCGATAGATTTTGAAATAAGACAATTAGACCACAGTTATCCATAACACTAATATTGAATGCTTTTTGTATTACATCAGAAATAATCTATTAATACAATCTTATTATGAGAGATCGTGGTTTGTTTGAATGTCATCCTATTAGTCAATGAAATATTAAACTTATGTATAGAGATATAAAATAATATAATTATGATTGAAATCATATCATATGGGATCTGATATATATATATAAAACTCATCTGTAGTAAACTAATGTGGAGGTCTAATAATACATTTGTTTACGTGGCAGGAGCGCGACCACTGTTGATGCAACAAAAGAAATCTAAAGTTATCTAGCGGCTCATCCCCGAACCTTTATTGAATCTGTTATGTTAGATAGATGCGTATGATCACAAAGTATTTGAATATTGTACTAGGTCGAAACTCACTAAAATTTTTGAGTTGTCTCAGTTTAGATCTAGGTGTGCGATATATAATTATATATATTGTTTATACTAGACTAGAGAAAGAAAATTGCGGTATAAATACGGTATAAATTATTAAAATAACTTTTGAACTATGGTGAGGACAGCAACATCTCGTGTACTACTGCATGTAATTTCTAATCATCTTCAGAGAGATATAAAGTATAATAATCCGTATTCAAAAGTACAAATAAAAAGTTGGGGTATCATGAATTTCTATCTTATGTAATTTTATCTCGTTTAAGATTCCCATTGAAAGATGTTTTCTATACAAACACTATAAAGAGGAAACAAGTGATTGTTTGTTGGCATCGACAATAGACTCTAAAAATCCATGTGTCGAAAAGACAATCAGGTGCCAATTAAAAATCAGCGTCAGACTTAGTAATCTAACAGTAAGCTGAATTGGCTGCTTATTTTAGTGCAACCTTAAGACGCATTTTAATATACAACAATATTATAAAACCTGCTTGTTCATTACTATTCAAAAGTTATATAATATATCTGTGCATTGGAATAAATATGTTTTATTTATCTCTTCTTTCAAAACTACTAGGCCGATTTAAAAAAATATTTTACCTACCATAAGATATAAACGCGGATGACAAAACCTATAATTTAAGCCGGCGAAGTCGCGGTAAAATAGTTATTTTTTTATAAAAATAAACATGTTCAGTTTTACATAATTTTATACGGAAGAATTTTGCGCTCTAAGGTTTCCATCAATTATTATTTATTGCAAATGATAATGTGAAATGTGCCTATAATTTTTAATTAAAACTAGTACCATTGATACCGTTTTCATATTACAAGTAAATTGTCTACGGAAATGATAACAAATTCACTCGAAAACTTGGTATTGAACATCCGACAAACTCTAGTTTAAAAGTGGCATATCCATCGAGACCTGGTCTAACGATGAAACCGGAGCTCCAAACTTATAATAATGTTTGTAGAGAAGCTTTACCTTAGAACGAACGGAGTTGTAGTCTAAAGGAAGTGGGTATGCTAGCTGTTAAACCTTCATTCGGCAATGTTGTCAATGCCAACTTTGTCCATTAGCAAAATTTCGTTATTAGACAAGTTAAAATGACATTTGAAATGCTTTAAGATGGTTTTAGCTTCTTATTAATTTGTAATTTTGTGTTGAGTTAATATTCAATCCTTATTATCAACAATGATCTATTCAAATCAATGGTTTTCAAGATGAACTATTTGTGAACACACGATTTGTAATGTAAAATACTAAACGGTGTGGCCGTTAGATGTGTAGAATTTTCGTTTCTGAATTAATTTATATTTTCCCCGTTCTCCAAAAGTGAACAAATAAAGCAATGAAGCATAATTCAGCCCTACGCCGATTTAATGCGCAAACAATTCATCTGATTGAGGTCCATTCACGTGGCAAATCGGAACATTATTTGCATTCCAATGTTCGTTTTCAAATTAGTGCGTATTGTTGGTTCGAGCGATAGAATAAGCAACTGATTACACTTGTTAATAAATTCGATAAAATAACTGAGTTTCATTGCTATGTTGACCTAATAATAAGGCTTGTAAATGGAAAGCAAGGCGTGGCAGGGCCAGACCGGTTCGGCAAATATCCTTGTGGTAGCAATAAGGTGATCTAGTTGCCAACTCCAGCTATAGAATGCGGACGCGGCCCACTCCCCCGGTTAGGCGGTAACCAGGAAGTCTCCGCAAACTTTTATTATTGAATCAAGTACAGGAAATGATGCTTATGTTATTTAACTATTTTATGCGTGCATTATTCTTCGTAGTAAATATTTTAATGATATTCGGTAAAGGAAAGTAATGAAACTACAAAAAACTTTGTATTTATGTTGTCAATAAAAGTAATTTTCATTGAGCTTATCTAAATTTATTTACAAGATCAGTTGCTCAACTCCATCACGTCAATCCGCATCTCTACTTCTACACATCTAACAAAAACGACCAACAGTTAATACCAGTCCATTAAAACACAATATCACAGGAAACAACATCTATGAAATGCTTTCGAAGCGTCCGAGCACTCGATCGCTCCGATGATTTGGCGAATGGATAAAAGGTGTGTACTTATATTTATTTTTTTACAAATCGCCGACCCTAAGAATAAATTAGATTTAAACTTTGTGGAAGGAGTAAGTGTAGCCGTCGGGAGCTCGGTTCAAGCTGAATTTTCCAGGTGGGAAGAACCGGCTTGGCGGTGGCGTTGTAGGTTCGTAATACTGATTGACCGGTTTGCTCGGTGCAGAGTATTGCTGAGACTGAATGCCACTGTATTGTGCTTGTTGAACACCTGGGTAGATATTGTTGGCTGGGAATTGAGGCTGAGATTGCGGTTGATATTGTGGTTGGGGTTGAGCTTGATATTGAGGTTGTTGGTACTGCGGTTGAGCTTGATACTGTTGCTGGGGAGCAACGTTGTTTTCTTGCTCGTACAATTCAGGATAATACTGTCCATCATCCACATTGGGTTTTCCTCCATAATTGCGAGCGGGAGCAGGGGCGGTGTACTGTTGTGGAGCGTTGTAATTCTGCGTTTTGTAGTCAGGAGAGTTGTAACGAGGGTCCGGTGTGTAGCCTGGTGTAGGAGCTACCGGTTGAGGTGCAGTGGGAATGTGATCTCCGACGGCTTGGAAACCGTTCTTTCCTGCGATGTAGTTCACAGTTTTTCTTTGGCCACTGGGATCGATATATGAGTAGCTCCCTCTCCTGTTGCCATCAGCATCTGTCTCCTCCTTGAAGTCAATACCATCCTCCTGTTGGTATGCGGCACCAAAAGCTCCGTTTCCACTCAAGTAACGCGCTTCTTGCACAATGGCGGCCGTTTTAGGGTCGCCCGCGTATTTTGGGACCCTTCTTCCACCTTCCTGCTGGCACGTCACAACCGCGATCACAAAGGCTAATACGGTGAGCCTATACATTTTGTAAATGTGCACTGCTCGTGTGAAAGTAACAAAGTGTGTCGTTGCGGGCGGGTGAACTCCTTTTATACGGATAGTAAAGGCCTTGGCTGGTATTGGAAGGGCCGCCAGGCGCGACCGCGAAAATTATGTGTCCAATGTTCCCGCGCGGGATGTATGTGTGCTCGCATGTCAATAAACAGGGCAATGTTATCAAGATGAAGAAAACAGGTGTCGTCCTTTGCAAAATGTCAACAAGTAGGCGTTCAAGTTAGACACGTCGACATAATGCAAAATGAATTTATCTATGTTATGTTCAATTATTGATAATTGATTGGAAATAAACATGATTTATATTTTATATATTTTGTTTCTAACATAATTAAAACCTAGTCTAAGTCACGTGGACAATATTGTTACAGTTGTATATAACATACCATTACTAATTAGTGGTACCAGCGTAATTTTACTCTTATTTGTAACTTTAAACTCGAGACAATCAAATAGATTTTTTCTTTTCAATGGGCTATTATCAGAGATTTTATGTGAAATGCCATTGTTGTATACCATTACTCGGCTAATCGGGTTAAGATCTGAACATTGCGTTCATTCTCACGTCTTGCTTGACTTTTGCGTAAATGTGTATTAGTCGACATTTCTTTATAGAATTTATAGTTATCACGCGCTGTTTCGTTGTCTTTAATTGCTATTAAACGCAACTGTTTTTTTTAACTATTTAACTATACTTTTTTAAGTTAATCAATATGTCTGTCTGTCAAAATTTTTTTTATTACATAATGTGTTATTTATATAGTATCTACCTACAAATTAACAGGATTAGATTTACTACAACACAAATAGACTCATCAAAGCAACGTTGAGATAATCAAAGATAAAAATATAGTCAAAAATCATTAGATTTCACATTTATTGCAAAAACTTTAATTTGTCTATTATTTTGAAGCAGTAATAAGAACAAACAATTCGAAGTTGATTTTTAAAATAATTTCGTTATGCATTTATTTGTAGAATAAATGAAAATAAATTTTATAATATATTATATATTCTTTGACATGAAAATTATTTCAAAGCGACGTTGTTGTTATAACAAAAATAATTCTTGTTATTAAATGTTATAGTAACTTATTGTTGCTTATTCTGCGCAATAAGAACTGCCGATTTGAAATTCATAAATTCTTGGGCAAAACTCGGTGAAACTCACCCATAAATTAATTTATGCAATATATATGGAATAAAAGAAAAATATACAAAATAATAAAGCGAATTGAGAATCAGTTTGCTATTGGGTAAGTAGTATCTACGTAATTAGCTGGCTTTCATAATCTTCATTGCTACTCGAATTTCGCTTTTTTGCCCGAATGCTTGTCGTCTTCCTCTAAAATTAGAGGGGCGGGGAAACTCGGTTCGGCACGACCGACGGATGACAAAGCAAAACCGAGAACCCCACTTCTAATGTCCATGTAACCAGAAAATTGTCAGTTTGGTTGCATTTGCGAAATACGTTTTTCCTATTATCTATCTTTTAATATGTATGGAAAGCACTGCGAATTTTGGATTGTAGTTCCTATATCTATAATATATATTAATATTATAAAGCTAAAGAGTTTGTTTGTTTATTTGGATCAATCAAAGCGCGTTCGTGCAATCTCAGAAACAATTAGCTTGAATTGAAATAAATATTTATCGATTTCTTATATTTTCATGCGCACTATTCATAAATGAATCTACTTTTAAACAAAACAAAAACGACACCCGTTTAGGTTAGACTAAGGTGTGTAACCTTAGTCTAACGTAAACACGGAACCTGTAAAGCGTCCGAAACGTCAATAAAACTAAATACAAACGCGGTGAAACCGTTTAAAAGTTGTTTCAGTTTTGAAATAATATTTTTGTGTTAAATGTTCCAATTGAGGAAGGAAGTAAAATCACACGGTATGACTAATAGGAGTGAAGCAGCAATGAAAAATGTTGCAAAAACGGTATAACCACGTGGGAGAAGGGAGGAATATTTTTTCTAAAGCCTACTCTGATATCGAATGTCAAACAAACTCAATTTGTATAAATTGACTAAGCAGTCTTTTAAAAACAATCCTTAAGCATTTACAAAAGACAATTTGATTTAAATTTAATATTATTTACTTTCCAGATATTTATGAAGTAATGAGAAAACGCTAGGTAACTTCTTATGTTGTTTTTAGTAACAAAAAAAATTGCTTAAACTCAAAATAGGTATCAAAAACACAAATAAGTTTTTGAACTTCGTCGATTAGAAAATAAAATAATATTTAAAATAATTTATAAATATAAATTTTTTTGCTGTCTGACCATTATAAAAATTATCTAGGATATTAGAATATTTTCCCAAAAAAAAATATGTGTATTTTTTTTATTATTAAGAACGTAGATTTATATCATTTCCGTATTTTGTTCATCTGCATTCACTTTTTACCCGACTGCGCAACGCAAAGGAGGGTTTTTATTTTTTCGATATCTCTATAGTGTGGATATCGTTGGATAGGTCTTTCAAAAATATTACAATTGTGCGAAGACCATATTTAGATATAGTGAACCGTTTGCTATTTTTTAAGTGCCAAGAACTACTTTGGACCGATCTGTGGTTGACTTAAGTTCGCGAATTTTTACTAATGTTCAAGCATATGTAGCTTTGAGCCGATAGAGGTCTCTAGAAGGACTAATAAGCAGTAGTTTAGACCACCGCAAGTTACTTAATAACCCTAACGATATAAACTCCCTTAGTGAAAAGATAAGGTTGCGAAATTTACCGTCTTATAGTTCTAATTACGAAATCAATAAGAAGTAACTAAAAAGCGTAAAACAAAAATATATATTATAAACAAAAAATAACCCGACTGCGTGAAAACAAAAGAAAGCAGTAAAAAAATACTTTCACTAAAAATAAAAAGAAAAAACAAACCCAGTATTTTTTTATAAATGTAAAATCACTAGTTGTTGGAATCGGATTTAAAATAAAGATCAGTCAATGTAGTGACTGTTTATTTCCTGCTTACGCTGCCTACAATTAACTAACTATTCGGATGGATAAGAACGTTGACCTTTAGAGAATGTCAAGAAAAATTCACCTTGAATATTAGTGTGATTCAGAATGCACTATACACTCAATTCAAACGATTTCTATAATGTTGTGTAGTACAATAGAAATAGGAATTCATGTTAAAATGAACTAATAATAACAACAAAGTTAGGACGCACGGGCAACCGCTGTCATAAGACGTCAAAACTATAGGAGATATTGTCGGAAACTTGCATCGCGCTTACAAAGTTACTTATTGAACGTATAAATATTAAGCAAGATTATTTTCATTTGTGGTCAAATAATGAACAATAAAACTTCTGAAATTGTTATTCTTTATATTATATTATTCTAATGTTATTTCAATTACGGTTGGCATATATTATTATCATGTCCTGGAATGGATTGAACATGGAACGATTTAATGTCATTTCGGGCATGATTCCGATAATATATACGTGGTACATTTAGTTCCTGAGTATAATTCCTGTCGTACATTTACTTCAAATGATATTGAGTGTGATTTTACGTCTTTCATTTTGACATGTAAGTAAATCTAACATTTATAGTTACCGAGTTCGGAGGAGTATGTATTCCTCTGTAAAAGCTTCAGTGAATTTATATGTATATTCAGTAGATATGAGAATAGGTTATGTATTTTTTATACTTCTAATTGATAAGGGTGGTCCACCCCAAATTTATATGGCAAAATAACGTTTGCCGGGTCAGTTAAGTATATAAATTGTAAAAGTTTATGTGACATAAATTTTGGCAATATGATGAATTTATGAACTGCTTAAAACATACAAAAATTATATTACAAAAATTATATTAAAAAAATTATATTATTAATTAATATAATTTTTTTGATAGATACGAAACAGAGCAAAATATAAAAACTACAGACGAAGGCACCGATCAAATCAAATATTATTTGTATAAATCAAAATTATTTCTCTTGCACGCACGTCTCAAGATAAATTTAAAAACAATTATCTTAATATTAATGGATTAATCTGGAGTCACATTATCTTATCTATACAGGATGGTGGAGATTTGCAGTTCTTGGTTGTTACCGCTAGGGGCACTGTACCGGATTCTATACTAAAATCTTAACGCGCTCACGATCGACAGTGAACGTAAACGTCAAAAAAACTTACACTAAGCGCTCAGAAATCACATTCGTGCTTATTATTGTTCATTGCCTCTTTCATATTCCTTCAAATATGTCCTATAGCTTTCGCATGGATAGTTTAAATAGACATCTCGGATTGGACCTATATTGTTCCATGTCCGACACAGTTCCTGGAACTTTTATCTGGAACTACTCATGTTTAGTACAAATCTGATCAAAATTTCAACAATCAAGCGTTTCACGGAAGTATGCGATAGTGCGCGATGGAATTTGCGTTTAGTGTGCTAAGGTATATAGGTAGGTATAGATAAGTATATAGGTATAACACATTATTTTTAAGGTCGAGACATTACGCGATTGACGAACGTATTCCCCGTCAAATATGCACCGACCTTTAGGATTACAGTGTACCTGGAACTTGTTTCTATTTTTGTTCACTTGCAAAATCAAATTACCGATCAGATTTCGGATCAGCCAGAATCAGCTTATTAAGTGAATTCCTCTATTCGATCATGATTTATAAAGTGAGGTCTCTGCATAAATTTTAATATATTCTAACCGGTTGAACTTCTGAGTATCATACATAAGTGAGTGATTAATAAGTACTTACGTATGTTCTTACTTATTTGTATCAACGAGTAAAGGTCAGTTGTTGCCCGCAAGCAAGGCCGCTGCTGATTCGGCATGTGCCAGAGAATGCTATAACCACTGTCGCCTTTTTTCATTCAGATCAGAAATATCTTACAAGTATAGGGTTGGTAAAAATTAAATTTACATTGACTCCTTGTTGTTAGAAAAGATAATTTTTATCTTACTCTAGCTCATTATTAAAGATCACTATTATCGAAGACCA